TTCCGATACATACACTTGAAATTAGGTAAGTTTATACATATATTTCGTTTAGATTTTATTTTGCGGAAAATTTACGGCTGAATTAGTAATTTGTTTTCACTATCTGTAACCTCTTTGGTTGAAAAACACGTGCACGCGGAGATGTAAGTTTAATACTTTTGTCTGTGGAAAACAAAGAACTGTACAGTGCTTTTCTTTTTCTTTAACAAGCAATTATTTACATTTTTTTAACATACGATCATTTATATGTAAATTTCATGTTGATCTCACTCTCTTTTTAAAAAATAAAAAAAGAATAGTCGTCGTATAATAGTTTCGTTCGCTCTGTGCGTTCTTTTTTTTAAGGCGTATATATATCATTTTAAAAATTTTTTTTATATTAAAAAATCTATGATTTAAATCATTGTCTAAAGTATTTTGATAACGAGAGACCTACTTACATCATAATCTGTTATATAAAAATTATTTAGTAGTAAAAAATATTTTAATTTATAGATATATAAAATGGCTGAAGGAATAAAATTCACAACAAATGATGAATTGGCAGAGATTATCAATAAAGATCAAAATGTGTAAGTATTCCTTTTGTTTTAAAAAAAAATTTTCATCCTCAATTCATTTAATATTTTAAACGTATATACATATATGTATATATATATATATATATATATATATATATATATATATATATATATATATATATATATATATATATATATATATATATATATATATATATTAGTGAAATCATAGGTTTTGTAGAAAACCTGATAGCTCCTGTGCAAGTAGGAGTGAAAAAATGGTGGCTTTTTAAAGTTATTTTGAGCAACGGCAGAAAGAAAATTATGGTTTTGATATGGGGCAAGGAGTTAATTGATTTGTACCAACCACAGTTAACTATAAAGTTAATCTATAAAGAGAATTATATTATGTTAATAATAAATATGGATACATATGTATATATATATATATAAATTCTTTTTTTTTTCATGAAAAAAAAATAACTATATATTTATTTTTAGTTATTACTGGCTGGTTAAAAACTGAATTATCTCTTATCACTAATCAAAATAATACATCCAGTTGGGGCAGTGGCGCAATCACCGACAAGATTTATAAAATAAATGTGCAGATTGCTCAATTTGTTAACTCAGATATTAAAAAAGGAGTAAAGATTCAACTCGAAGGGGAGATCAAGACAACTGGTAACTATTCTTTTTTTTTATTTTAATAATAACTTAAAATGTAAATAATAACATTACTAATTTTTATTTCTTATTCAGATATGCCAACAACTATCCATTGTTTGGATATGACCAAGATAAAAATCTTGACTGATGAACCTATATTAACTGAAAATGAATTGCGTAAGGGATGTCGTACTCCACGAAGACCTTTGGAGGACAAAACCAATGCTTCTGAAAAGTCTCCGAAGAAGAAAAACCCAATAAAAATGGATTTAGAAGATGAGAATGATCTTTGAGTGATTCTTTTTAAATGTTGTTTTCTCATATTTTTAAAAGTTAACCTAACTCAAAATCATCATTTTAATTTCTCTTTGAATTCAAATTAACGTAAAGCCTTTTACTTCATTTAATATAATTATTTTGATTCCTTTGTTTAATTTGAAAATATCTTTGAAAATTTATTTTAAAAAAATATAAATAAATATTGTGTTATGCTGACTGCAATTTTTATATTATGCTACTTAAAATTAAGTATATATTTATTATATGAGTTCTATTCTAATAATAATTATTTAATATTTAGTAATAATATTAATCTAATAATAATAATTTAATATTTAGTTCATAATTCATTATTTATGTGTACTTTAATAATGCAATGACTCTTTTAGTTTTTACATTGTAAAGATTATTAAGATGAAAATTTTTTCAATTTGTAATAATTTGACTGATTTAATCGGGATAGTCACTAATGATAAAATAAAAGTAGTATTAATACTTATAAGTGTAGATGTATGAATTACCATTGAAAACATTTTCATCTACATAATCTTTTAAAATATGTAATATATCATGAATGTATTTGTGAAACAATAAAAATAAAAAAAACAACCTTTCCCAATAATTACATAATAAAAAAAGTTTACAAACGAATTTCTTTTTTTACTTCTCTTCTTTTTGATATGAATATGATTTGATTACAAAAAATATGAATTTACTGAATATAGATTTCAATTTAGTAAAATGAATTATATTATGATTATTTAAAAACATGTTTTATTATCACAAATATTGCGTCTGCAATTTTTAAATTCATAATTTTCTTTCGCTATTAACACGTTCCAAAAAAACCGTATATGGTAAATATTTTTTAATTTACAAAATTTATTATAATTATAACGAATTTAGATTTCAGTAACGATCTATATATATACACTATGTTCTGTAATTTGTGTATATTGTAAAAGCTATATTTTATTAATCAATCGAATAATTTGCGCATGAGAATTTTCACCATTTCTATAGTAACGACCACGTTTCTTTTAACATACCAAAACAATTAAACACTGTTCAGTTGAATTTGTGCTATAAATTAATAAATAATTATCGTCGAGAATCGCCAGGGACCAAGAATTTTATTCAGCCGTGATCATTGCCGTTTAATTTACAGCATTATTTATTGATGTAAGTATAATATATTTAATTACTGAATAGATTTTCAATAAATTATTTTATAACCTTAAAGTTAATATTACTACTATTCTAATTAATTTATTTTCAATTCAATTTATTCTCATGAAATTCTATTTCAATTGAATTCAATTTATTTTCATCAATTCGTCGTAATTAAATATACAAAAACTAAAATTTGATTTATTATATGTCATATTTATACTTTGATTATATTTAAATCATCAACTGTTTTTGGCAAAGATAAATGAATTATATGTAATTTGAGTCTATGTACATTTTCCAGTGAAAAAAAAAATTTCAGTATTTCATAGTTCTTCCTATTGCCAATCCAGTGAGCGAAATTTATTGTTTTTTTTAATGGAAAAATTGATGTGTATACCTATAATTAGCATAGTAATTAATCATTTGACAATTTGCTTTATTAGAATAGAAATATTTTTATAAGGGAATTTTTATTTTCTATTGTTATCTCGATATATAATAATACTTGATCATGAAACTAAGCAAATTGTTAAATTATTATGGGCATACTCATGATAAATAAACTTATTTTTCATAAAATATATTTTTATTACATGAATATCTCATGTAATATGCACTGGGATATATTATTATTCTTTTGTATTTTTCTCTACATACTAAAGAATGTTTTTTATTTTTACAGGTTAAAAATTCAATAAGATAATAATAAGAATTTATAAACATATCCAATCCACTTGTGAATTGAGGATTCCAATTGGATATCATTGTGAGAATAAACTCAATCATTAACTTCCACAGGTAATTTTTGATACACTTGATTGATACAAAAACTTTAGTAATATACTTTCAAATATTATCAAAATTATTTTTTTAGAATTTTGTGACCTATACATTAAAACATTATAATATATACGAAATAAATAAATATTAAATATTGTAATACTAATTTTATGGAAACATTTTTTTACGTAATAATAAATACAGTTACAATATAATTAAACATTGTATTCAGAAGTGAAATTAATTGTTTCAATTACAAAAGCATTTTAATTACGAATTTGTTAACTACTTCTCTTTCTTTTTCAGGATTGCCTGGAACGCTGCTTACATTTACTTTACTTTTACAAAATTACTTTACTTTTAGAAAATTACTTTACTTTTACAAGAACTTACTTTTACAAAAACTTACTGAAAATAACTAAAGCAACAACAAAATCAATAACAAAAAAAATAAATTGACAAACATATGCAAACAAAACAAGTATTTTTTAATCAAACGATTTATAAAAATTATCACAACTTGAAAAATAAAAAATTTTTTTAACTGCAATAACCATTACAATCATTGACTTTTAACCTTTTCTCGACACATTAAACATTGATATTGTATATAATATATATAATATAATATTAATTTTATATCATATTTACACATCAACAATTATTTGTTTTTCTGTTTCAAAAAATCATCTATATGTTCAATACTCATTTTAATCTAAATTCTATTAAATATTACAAATTATTTTAAGATAAATGAGTTTAGCATATTTTTAATTTGGAAGTTTGTTTCTATATACATTACTCTCCATAAAAAATTCAGATTTCATACAAATTAACATTATTTTTTAATATAATTTTTCCTGTAATATCAATCGTACATCTGCAAATTTCTATTATTATCATCACTTTCTATAATCATTATGCCTGCTAGAGCAGTTAGACGAACACCCGAAGAACAACGAATTTTTCAAGAAGCTAAACGACTTCGAGATAGAGAAAATTTACGTCACAGACGTCAAGCAGCTCGAGACCGATTGAGGGTACGAACTACAGGAATAGACGAAGATTACTTAGGACCAATGAATGTACTATGTTCACATTGCAATGCTAAACATTTTCAAGATGAAAAGATTTCTAATAAAGGTTTATCATTCAGTGACTGTTGTAGCCATGGTTCTGCTTTATTAGATCCTTTACCTACATTTCCTTCTGAACTTCAATCACTATTCACAGGCAACAATCCGAAATCAAACTTATTTATAAAAGACATTAGATCCTACAACAATTCATTAGCTTTTGCTTCTTTAAATGCCAACTTATTTAATTTTACACCTAATCGTCCTGGACCTTTTTGTTTCAAAATACAAGGTCAAATTTATTACCAGATAAATACAGCATTGTACCCGAATGAAGGAGAAAATCCATCGTTCGGACAACTTTTTATAGTCGATCAATTAGAAGCATTAAATTATCGTTTAAGTTTTAGATTAGATTAGTTCTACATTAGATTTTGAACTTTTAAAATCTTTGGATACAATTATACGTGAAAATAATATTTTTGCTTAATCTTATGAAATGATGAGAGTTGAAATTGAAAGACAACAAGCATTAGAAGGTAATAATAATCTTACTGAGCCTGAATTGCAGCTGTTATTTACTTTACAACCAAATGTAGATCGAAGAAGATACAATTTCCAACGCGTTAACGAAGTTGCTGCTGTATTTTCAACAACAGCAGACGGAGAAATTCCAGAATCGTATGCAACGATTAGAAACAAACGTACAAAAGATTTAAAATTTGTCAGCACAATGAATCCAAATGTTGAACCTTGGATATATCCGTTATTTTACCCATATGGTACTCAAGGATGGCATAAAGATATATTGCGGGTTAATAGTGTCAAACGCGTCTCCAGAATGGCATATTATAGGCATCGAATGGCCATAAGACCAGATGAATTTAATCCTTTCATTATGGGTGGTAGATTATTTCAACAATGGGTAGTTGATAGTTACGTTAAAGTTGAAAAAGACCGAATCCAATATTGTAAAGATCATCAAAAAGAATTGAAAGCTGATACTTACAAAGGACTCAGTGATTACATGCAAAATACAGCTGAAGAAGTTGGCGGACAAGTAGGTAAAACCGTTATTCTTCCATCGTCGTTTACTGGATCACCACGTTATATGCAGCAATGTTATCAAGATGCTATGGCCTTGGTAAATGAAAAAGGTAAACCGGATATTTTTCTTACAATGACATGTAATCCAAATTGGCCTGAAATTAAAGAAAATCTTTTACCTGGTCAACAAACTTCTGATAGACCAGATATTGTAGCACGAATATTTCACTTAAAGAAAGAACGAATAATTGATTTAATTGTTAAAAAAAAATTTTTTGGTGAAGTGGCTGCTTATGTTTATGTAATAGAATTCCAAAAACGAGGTTTACCACACATGCATTTATTGATAACATTAGCAAATGGTTATAAGTGGACCACTCCTGAAATTGTTGATAAATTTATATCAGCTGAATTTCCAATTAAAGAAAATAATCCACAATTATATGATATTATTCTAAAACACATGGTCCATGGTCCATGTGGTGATTGGTGTATGGAAAACGACAAATGTTCTAAGAATTTTCCAAAAAGTTTTCAAGATGAAACTACTATGGATGAAAATGGTTTTCCTAATTATCGTCGAAGAAACACAGGCTATACACATCAACGATCTAATGGTCATCAAGTTGATAATAGGTGGATAGTACCTCATTGTTTGCATTTATCAGAATTGTTCGATTGCCACATAAATGTTGAAGCAGTATCGAGTATTATGGCTGTAAAATATTTATATAAATACATATACAAAGGTCATGATGCTGCAACAGTTGTTATTCAAGATTCTGAAAATAGTGTATCGATTTATCACGATGAGATTTACCGATTTATAAATACTCGATATGTTGGTCCTGTTGAATCAGTTTATCGTTTATTAAGTAAAACATTACAAGATAAAAGCCATACTATTATAAGATTACCTATACATTTACCCAATCATCAATCCATCATTATTTCAAATAACCCTGTAACATTAGAAACCCTGAATAGTGCAAGTAGTATGTTGTTAGATTACTTCAAACTAAATCTCGAAAATGAAATTGCAAGACAATATTACTATTCCGAAATTCCACAACATTTTACACATATAAAGAAAAAAAATGGCAATATAAGTAAATGGAGTACTAGAAAGAAACACTTTAATGTCATTGGGCGCATGTATTCTATCAGTCCAACCCAATTAGAATTATTTCATTTAAGAATGCTATTATTGCATGTAAAGGGAGCTGTAAGTTTTGAAAGCTTGAGAACCGTTGATAACACAGTACACCCCACTTTCGTCGCAGCTTGCCTAGCGTTAGGACTGATCGAAAATGACGAAGAATGGAAACTAGCACTAGAAGACGGAACTAAATGGATGATGCCACAAAGACTGCGTCATTTATTTGTCCGAATTCTCATACATTGCCAACCACTTAATCCAGAAGAGCTGTGGAATCATTTCAAAAATCCAATGTCAGAAAATTTTTCTCGTCACCACGAAGAAAGTATAAGTCACAGATTAGCCTATTCTCACATCAATACCTTACTTAACAACGAAGGTCGTAGTTTAGCTGATTTTCCTACAATGGACCAAACAGTCGATATCGAATTTTTGATTCCAGATCAATCGAACGAAAATAATCCTTCAAATGTTAACAGAACTGACATATCTTTAGAACAAATGGCAAATATAGGACAGCAACGTTATAATACATTAAATCCTCAACAAAAAGAAATAGTTGACATAGTTTTCGAAGCGGCTCACAATTTACATTATACAGGTCCTAGGTGCATTTACATGGATGGTCCAGGAGGATCGGGAAAAACGTACGTTTATGAAACTATATATTATAAATTAACTTCAGAGAACATTAAAATATGTTCAATGGCATTTACCGGCATTGCAGCTTCTTGCAATGCATTACTTCCAAATGGAAAGACTGTACATAAAACTTTTGGCTTACCAGTACCTCTGTTTCAAGATTCTTCTTCTAATATCAAAGCACAATCTCAAGAAGCTCAAATATTAAGAGAAACTGATGTATTTATTTGGGATGAAATTTCAATGGCTCCGAGATACGCATTAGAAATCGTAAATAAAACTTTACAAAATTTTATGGACAATAATTTGCCATTTGGAGGAAAAATTATAATAGTAGGAGGAGATTTAAAGCAATTGTTGCCAATTAAAGTTCGAGGAACTCGAAGTGAAATATTAAGCCTTTGCGTTGTATACAGTAAAGTTTGGAAATACTTCACCAAATTTTCACTACCTGCAAACATGAGAGTTTTACCAAATGAAATAGAATTTTCCAAATTTTTATTAGATATTGGCAATGGAACATTGAATGATCAAAATGATTGTGTAAATCTTCCTGAACATTGTATACTTCCACCAACTTCTAACATAATTGATGATACATTTGGTATATTAATGAAAGAAAACAAGTTCCAAGATATGTGTAAATGCGCTATATTATCGGCTAGAAATGTTGACGTAGACGACATTAATAAACAAATTACTAACTTATTAAATAAAGATTCTGAACGTATATACACTGCCATCGATGTCGTTGTTAATAACAATGGTGAATTAGACGATCTTATTTTACCAGAACATTTGCACAATTTAAATCCAACAAGTTTACCTCCTCATGAATTACGCTTAAGGCAAAATCGTATTATAATGCTCATCAGAAATATCAGTATTAATGAAGGTTTGTGTAATGGAACGAGATTGCAAATAATCGACTTATCAAACCATTTAATAAAATATAAAATTTTAACAGGCGATAAAACTAACGAAGTTGTATTTTTAAATCGCATAACTTTGTATTCTGAAAATGATTATCCATTTTCATTTAAGAGAAGACAATTTCCAATCAAACTAGCTTTTGCAATGACAATCAATAAAGCTCAAGGACAAACTTTTAATAAAACGACTGTAGATCTTAGAAGAGACGTATTTAACCATGGGCAACTTTATGTTGCAATGTCCAGAGTTCGATCTTGGGATTCTATCAAAATATACTTAGGAAATTATGTACAGTTAAGAAAAGTTAAAAATCTCGTGTATAATGAACTATACCAAAAATAATTCACAATTTGCAAGTTATCGAAATTTCAATAAATTGAAGACTGTAAATTATTCTTGGTACTTACGTGCAATAATATGTCAATGAATGCGAGACTGAATAATATGTGGTGCATACTTCTAAATTATTTTTAAATAAATCTTTTTTATTAAATATAGTTTTATTACAATACATTTGAAAGAAAAAAATTACAGCGCGCGTAGCGCGCTCATTGTTTCTAGTATCTTTAAAAAACGATGAGTTGCTGACATCCAACGTTGTGATTTGTTGATGCAAAAATAGAACGCGAAATTTTGAATTTTCCTATACTTTGAAATATTATTATTATTATATATCAAAGAGTGTAAGATTTCTATTTTAGCGATAAATTCAATTTATGAATAATTAACATGGATAATAAACTGCAAGAATGGAAATATGTTAGTAAATTGGTTTAAAAACATAATACGCTATGTTTTGAAATTATTTGTACAAATTGTTAATTTTATAACCATCTCCGATACTACAATCAATATCGTTGTGTTAAAATTTGGTAGAAAGAAAAAGAGAATGAATAAAAATAAAATAGAGACTACATATTTATCTTTTGTATATTTTAAATTAAAACGTATGCGAACAAAGGAAATTAATTATCAAAATATTAAACCCGTTAAATTAGAAGAATATTCACGGGTGTTTTCATAGTGGCAGCAAAAAGTACACGATGTTAAATGTATTACTCATACTAATATAAGATTGGAGCCATAATCACTACTATTGAATATATAAGTTTAGTGTTGTATAATAGTATAATAGCATTATTGATCTTAGGTCGAATTAATCTTTTGAATAATTTTTCCGATATATCTTGAAATGAGTAAAAGTTCATCGATTTTTGAGAAAAAATGGGTGCATGTTCTATTTTTATTCATCAATAAATATTGACGTATGTAGTCTATTTTAAACAGCATGACTTATTCGTGTCCATTGAAATCTTGAAGTTGACATGTAAAAGGTTCAAATAATGTAATAAATAATAGTAAAACATTAAAAAAAAAAGCGCGCAAAGCGCGCTAAATAACACTAGTTGGATTAAAATTGGAATTAATGGTGGCAGTTCTCACATTATAACTTTTTCAAGCTTCTATTGATACGTCATATATAAATAAATTCTGTAAATTAGTTCATACAGTATTTTTATTAAAGTGCATTTACTACCTTTGAAAAAACTAAATTAAATCATCGTTCGTTATAACTAATAGTTTATTTTACAATTAATTTCAAAGTAGAAGACAGATTAACTTGTTTTTTGCCTTCCACGATAACTTATAGAAATATTTTAATTTTCGAATATTCTCTTGGTTCATTTGTTATAAAAGAAATAGATAGAATAACGAAATTCTGATGTTAACTTGACCGTAGGTCGTGAATTAAGATACTTTGAGTACACATGCGTACCGGTTTACAAGTAATAAATTGCGTCATGACTGTTGCAGCAAATTTTACAATGGTAATATCAGTAATAGATAAATAAACAAAAAATTAGGGTTTTACTTTATAATTTACTGGGTATTTATTAATGTGTTCGTTTTGTGGTGGCTCATTGTTATTTTAATTACTACAGAATTTTTAACGAGAAGATTTAAAGATAGCTTACTTTTTCCGAAAAGAGGCCGACTGCAACGTCATTTTTTGACTATTAGTCGCAGACTTATGCTACAACCAAGTCAATGATGAAAAAAAATCCATATTGTCAGCAAACCGTTTCCCTTTTCACTGGGTCCGCCCCCATTGAAATCATTTTAACCGTTTTAAAAATATATGCAAACATACATAAAACAATTTATGTCAAATAAAAAATCTTCTTTTTTGAAGTCGGTGAAAAGAATAGATGACACTGCAGAAAATTCATAGATGTCTGCAATTCTTTGTGTCGATGTACATAGGATGAAGTTTTATTTTCAATTTTTTAAAACGGTCTTCTTAAATAATGAAACTCAAAACAAAGTAGGTTGTATTTATGTACATATTCACACTGACAATTTTAAAATATCAATTGACATAATTACAAATGTACAATATAGTGTGGTTATTGGAATCGTGTATACAAAGAGCGATCAAGAGAAAGAACAAACACAATAATATGCATTATACATAAATCATATAAATATATAACACATCAACAAGCTAGCATTTTTTTAACATACTTTCCGTTAAGTACATTGTAAAAAATGTGGATTTACTATTGATCGAAAGACTTATGCATGAAATTATGAATAAACCGATGGTCATAATAAATTAACTGAAAGGTTGGATGACAAATCCCATGCGTACGTTAGATTTAGTTATAAAGGCTGAAAGGTTTGGCAGACAGGTATGAGAGTAGTGAAAAAATAAAGTAAACAAAAAACAAAACAAGTTTTAGCAAGTCAGACAAGATACACCACAAAAGAAAGAAAGAAAAGGCGGAGGCCCCTTGTAGGCGGCCTCTTGTTTTCTGTCTCTGTTTTCTCAGCTCGAAGCGATATTCGTGTGCCTCCGGGCAAAAGTTACGTGGCTTGTGACGGACAGGTGACGTAGACAAATGCCGCTCATTTGTCTCGCTTCAAAGATTAAGTATACGATATATATATATATATATATATATATATATATATAGTGTACTACTATATATATGTATACACTGCGTGTGTGTGTGTATGTGTGCATGTGCATGTACATGCACATCATAGGCACACGTGTACACCTTACAGCATACGCATAGAGAAGCAACACCTATAGCTTGCCAGTTCTCGGAAGTTAAGATTTTTTCCGATTTTCCGTTGCATCTCGTGCGTCCCATTATTGCTGACCGCCAACGGTTTTTCCATTGTTTTCTTCGACTTTCTCACTTGAACATTCCACAAAGCTGAAGAATTCTACATATACGGGTCTTATTTGTATCTTAAAATTATGGCATGAATGCAAACCATATTAAACTATATTTGTTTATGAACTATATTAAAAACTACACTTTTATATCATAATTATATTAATTGTCGCACATAAGTAAGCTGATCATTGTTTGTTGCAGCAGCTAGTTGTAAGCACGCTCATTTGTAAAGCAACTAGCGATCGGTATAATAATTATTGCAAAACGAGTTTTCTGTTTATGTAGTTATAATATCGCAGGATCATTATGATGAGGGTTTTGGGGACATCCATTGAAGGAAATAAATGTTCGAACATAGAGCTTTAATACTTGTCAATGCTGATTCTGAACTGAAATTAGTCAAAAAAACTTTTAAGAAAATCAATGGTTATCGATTTGAGACTGCTGCGTATTCACCGATCGAAATATTATATAGTATACGGCTGTCATAGCTATTAACGACTTTTTGGTAGGCTATAAGTACTTACTGTAAAATAAAGAAAGCAAGATAACGGCTTGAGAAGGTATCTCTATCTCTATGTATATCGCTATCTTTCTCCCTATCCGTCTCCTGTTCCCCCTCTTTCGGACAGTAGAATTGAGAAGAAAAAACGTAACGATAGAGAAATAAAAAGGCGAAAGGACGAAAGAAGGAAAGAGCGGCAGCGACGGCGGTGGAGGTTAACTTATGGATATCCATAGCAACCAAGTCAAGCCATTAATAACTCCGACGGGAACGCCCTATCCTTATTTTATACCTTTTCTTTTAAGTCGAGCGCACCTTCGGTTTTTTCTTTCTCGCGAGCAAGCAGGTAGGTAGTTGTTTTGCTCGCACACGCATACATGCATGAACCCGTCACGGGAACATCTAAAAATTTAATGCTTTTCGACACTAAATTTTGATTCTGTACCTTCAACTCTTTTTCTTTCTATCTTTCTTATACTCTACGCATATAAATATATTTTTTCACATTTTTGTTTATTTATTATTTTATTATATGTTAGTTTACTTCAAAATATTTCTTATTCATTTAGATATTCTTTATTTTTAGGTTAACAGTGTTGAGTTTGGGTCGAAGAGGCAAACGTGAAAAATGTTGCTGGAGTATCTTTCATTGTACTTTCATGATTTCTGACGCTGTTCGACTGATTACCGGACACTTTTTATTGTTTATAGATAATGGTGGGATAGCCTGGTAGGATTCAAAATTTAGATAATTATTTTAGAGTCCATCTGGTATGTTGATGGTGGAACGGCTGCTACTGCAGCTGTGTCAAAATATATTCCTCAAAACGATGTCGATGTCTCTTTATTTCGCAATAACTATTCCCCTGCAAATAACACTTTGAGGACTTTCAATTAGCAATAGACACATGCATGCTCCTATTTGAGTTTTGTTGTTTTTCTAGTTTGTTCGTTGAGAATCGTATTTTCCGTTTCATTGGAGTAGTTTGAATCAAGTTTTAAATTTAATTTTAATTAATTTTCAATTTAATTTAATTAAGTAGTTTTAATTTTCAAGTTTCAGTGTATAACTATATGAAATGAACTTTGTCGATAGAAATATAATTTTAATTCTGTAAAGCGATTCTCAATTTTTTTTTCCACCTCTTATTAAACGTGTTTGTGAACCATTTTTTTCTCTTCTTTGCTTTAATCTTGCTTAATAATTATAAATGATACATTAGCAACAATAATTATTTTGCCATATGAGCTTATTATATCTGAATT